TGCCAATGAATCGAGCCGATCGGAAAGGACTTGGTCATTGACGATTCGAGCCGCTCTGCGCTGGATGCGGTCAAGTGGAAGAAGCTGGCACTGGGGAGCCCCTACCCAGAAATGGGAATTACCCTCCACCTCCCATGGCCCCACCGACCCTCAGGTCATACGGGCCGAATCACGGGAGATGCGCGCGGTACTTACAAGTGGTTCTTTGAGTTGTGTATTCTGTGAGTTCGTGACGTTGAGTATATGCATTTTTCGATCATGTTTGTCTCAACCACCAACAAGTTGCCTTCAATCTTTCAAAGGTGGGAACTTTAGAGAGATATATTATTATGTTGTTATTATAAAACATCATGGAGGTCAGACAGTCTGCAGCCCCGTAATGAAGGGGACCCGACTTGGGCATAGCTACTTAGGTTGTGAGTCAAACCAAGACGCAGGGAGCAATATTGAGAATAGCGACCCGCCAAACAACCATCCTAAGGTCCCCCATACGGTCCCTGCTGCATCACCACCCGCATACCTCCATCGAGCAGAACCACAAGATGCGTCGAATCAGGCGCAGCACATCCGCAGATCTATCACAATACACAATACCGCAAGTAGCAGTAAGCATCAATGCAACTATCATACGGATAGCGCCCCCTCACAACACACCCACTTGATCCCTATCGACTTTGGTAACAAAATTGATAATGTTGTTAACTAAAAATACCACCAATGTTTCATAGTAGTACACTACTAAGACGTCAGTAGCCAAAACTCCACGTATCAAAGCGCTATTGCACTAAGACATAGAGTTGAGTATGCTTGCTGCACTTAATAGTACTACAAAACACACTCACCCTAATCCGAAAGATAGCCGACGTATCATAACGCTATGCGCTAAGACGCCGCCCACAAACGATAGGGGTGTGCGATGTCCACGGGCAAGTCGTATTACTACAACAAACCCGCTTATCACCGCCACTAAGATATGTCTAGGACACATCGATTAGCGAGTCCAAGTTTACCTCGGTCTCGGACGCTGTGAAGCAATTTACACGCCACTATTATAATCCTTTTCAAGTCCCATTTCATTCAATATAATGCTTTTACATATTTGAGACCTTCCACATATTTGGTTTATTTCATAGACCATACTATTTTATGTGGTTTCAAGTCATAACTCTGCTATCATAATGCTTATCTTAGAGACCTATATTAATGCTTTGGTTCCATAGACCTTACTATCATAAGTCCCTAATATAGGACTAGTCATTGGGCAAGAATATTTTTCCGATTAAAACAAGAACACTCTCATCTACTTAGAAAATTTTTAATCCTTTTTTTTTCAATTATATTACAAATGTTATTTATCTTTATTATTGCAATACTTATACTTATATTATTTAATAAGTTTTGAATATTTTAAACAGAATTTTAATAAATTTAGAGCATTTTAAAGGCAATTTTTGCGTTTACTATACTATAATATTCAATATTCCAAATGAATATATTTGAACTTTGTACTTATTATTGCATTTTAATTCAAATGTTTTTATAATGGATTCAATTATTATTTATTTATAATAACTATGAAGAGTCACAACATGCCGAAGAAACAACGTTGGAGATAGCACGCAGCCTTGTGGAACACCAGCGTTAATAGGCTTGTAGTCGGAGCATGCACCGTCTACAACGACCTTGATGCTTAGATCTGCAAGAAAGCTCGTGATCCAATTGCACAATTTCTCGGGAAGCACATAAGAAGGGAGCTTCGAAAGAAGCGTTTTGTGCCAAACCCGATAGAAGGCCTTCGCAATGTCCAAATTAAAGGCAAATGCCTGCCCCTTGGACTCTACTGCCTCTGCCCATCTATGAAGTCAGGTAGACCAGAAGATCACCAGCTGATCGACCCCGACGAAAACCGTATTAAAGGTCACTAATCAGCTGGCGATCCTCAATGTACTGCATGAGCTGGCAGTTTATAATGGAATCCATTATTTTGGAGAACAAGGAGATGATGGCGATAGGCCTGTAGTTGGACATCTTTGAGCGCCCGCCTTTCATAGGGATCGGGTGGACAAAAGCTATCTTCCATGATTTCGGTATTACGCCTAGGTAGTAGGGAGTAACGCGACTTTTCCGGTACTCCGAAAAAGACGCGTTAGATCCGGTGCCAACTCTGGAGCACACGTCCTCGTCACAATTGGTGGGATTCCGTCAGGTCCACTCGACTTGTTGATATTCAGGGAAAGGAGTGCTTTGCGAACCGAGCGCTGTGAGGACCACACATCCGGCATGGTACACTCACACCGCGGGATGGTCGGCGGTGTGTTCGAGTTAGATACAAAAAGGCCTAAAAGTTCGGCTTTCTCTTTTGCGGCGTGGGCCAGTGAGTCGTCCTCCCTGTGACATTCCATTCCAAGACATTCCCTTGAACAGCCTTGGCGAGAGACCAGAATGCACGGGTTCCCGAAGGAAGGCGAACTAGTTTCTCGCCAATTCTGCCTATGTGCTCTGATTTTGCCTCAGCTATAACTTTTTTTTACGACCTGGCGGCGAAGTTATACTTTTTTTTAAGCACGCTGGTGTTTACATCTCGAGCTACCGAAGCCTAAGCCCAGGCCTGGTAACACTTCTGCTAACTGCGTAATGCAGTCTTACAGGAATAAATAGTTCCATTCCCTGTAGCGCCACATCAGCGACAGAGTCAGCAACAGCGCTGGGATCATCCAGCGAGAAACAAATCCGCTCCCATGGGTAGGATGCAAAGGAAGACCGCATTCCGTCCCAATCCGCCGACCTATAATGCCAAATACGGCGGCAACCTGCAGAAGGCAACCGCGAGGGAAGCGTGAGTGGCACCACACTCCGGATTTGACAATGGTCCCAAGAGCCGAGAGGGGCATAGACGGAAACCTGATATCCGTCCGGATGAGAAATCAGCAGTAGGTCCAACAGAGAAGGTGTATGATCCTCCACATCTGTAATACGCGTAGGCGAAGTAACCAGTTGTGTCAGACCATATGCCAAGGCAAAGTCATAAACAGATATCCCCGCATTATCGGTTAAACGTGAACCGACGCATTCGGCGTCGTGGGTGTTAAAATCGTCAAGGATCACGATCTCAGCGGATGAGACCTGTTGTAGCAAGGAATCTGTTGCCATTTGGACGTAGTCGATGAGTCAGTCTGTTTTGACAATACCGCTAAAGGACCTATAGAGGCACCCGTAGACGCGCGGATGGTCGTCGCTATCTATGCGTAGCCAGAGGATGGATAGGTCCGAAACGTCACGACTGCCGAGGCTTCGAGAACAGATATCCTCTCTCAGGTATACGCAAGGAGTGAAACTTGTTGGTGGGTGAGACAAACATGATCGAAGAATTTTTATGCGAACGACCTTTTGTGGGTGGTAGCTAGAGGGAGGAGACTCTCAAGGCTGCAGCTGAAAACCGCTCAACGTGGGACCCCATCCCCTTGAGGTGAGCAGTAGACTCACCTCAAGGGGATAGGGTCCCACGGTATTAGCCGTGCTGATCATGCAATTGGTGGTGATGCCTTACACTTACATCACGTTTGCGGGAACGGCGGTTTGGCAGGTAGTGGCGCTCACGGAGGAATTTTATGGCCAGTGTGCTTATTATTCGACGTGTTGCCTAAACTGTGTGACGTACATTTACTGTGGCTAGATTTGATCGTATTCTGTATGGCGTTTACACACAATAGCATGCGCGACTTCGGTCGTTGTTTGTGCTTACGCACTACCAAGGAGCCAAGCCTTCTTTTACTGGTTCTCCAGTTTTTTTTTGCCGTCGACTACAGTCAGTTCCCAATTTAACGACCCTCGTCGGGTGGAGCACGTCGGGTGATTAGTACTCAACGCACACGGTATGTGTGGAGCCGTGTGCCTCCCCCACATTTTTTAAAAAATGTGTTAGAGCGAAACCCTTGTATCGGGTATCTTTAATATAAAAATGAATCGCTGAATGTGTTGCTAAGCGCCAATCTCGAGAGCAGCTGAACAGATTTCGCTAACTCTTTTTTTATAATATTCCTTGAAGTACGAAGATGCTTCTTATGGAGAGAAAATTTAAAAACTTGCCTGAAAAAGTCTAAAAACAACAATTTTCTATATTCCCATGCAAAAAATTCGTAATAATACTTAAATGTTAATTTGAACTTTAATGCCATACCATAAAGTTTAAGTGTTAGTGGAGGGATTCCGGGAAGGCAAAACAATTGAGTGACGTTAGTATCGTATAAATATTAATGTCAATATTTATACACACTGGCAGATAGCTGATGTTATAAGGAGTAACTTGGGCTGCTTTTATTTTAGGGTTCCGCGAAAAATAACTCCACGCGGGCGAAGTCGCGGGGAACAGCTAGTTTTATATAAATATTGTGAGCCTTCCCAAACGGGAAGGGATTAATTATAAAGAACTGACAGATGTAAACCTGATACAAGTGGAATAGGGACGATTTAACGTTCTTAACCTTTTTTAAGCCGATTCTTTAGCTTAAAATTATTATAAGCCACTACCAACAGCTTTCGACTGCTCTGATGAATATTCACTCTTCCACGAACCACCTAAAAGAACTAAGTTAATAAACAAAACGTATTAAAGGTCCTAACTAAGATGATACGCCATAAATTTGTTAAACGGCCTATAACTAAATCTTTAGATAGATATTAGAAAAAGATCAATATATATTTATTATCCTGGTTACGTAAATTTTATATTTTGATAGACGGCTATATTTCTATCTATATTTATAAATAGAGGGGGGAACTCTTAAGCTCTCCGCTTTATAATACCGCCGTATTATTTTGCTGTTTCACGTTGGTATTCTCTAAGAGCCCGGTATCCTAGCCGTGTACATTTGCGCTCTAGCCAAAATATATCTACCACGTAAATGTATTTATTTTTTATTTCCTCAACAGAAAAATCGAGGTCGACCCGACGAGCTCTATTCGTGATGGTAGTGTTAAACATGACGGTTATATTCCAAGGTATGTTAGTGGCGCAGGTGTATGCGGAGCCTCTCTTCGCCCAGGCTGTGCCCTCAATGTCGTCAACTATCTGCTGCGTGATCTTCACGTTAGTGACCATTATGGCTGGATTTATTGGATCCTTCTTAATTGAGCGGTTGGGGAGACGGGTAAGACTGGGACTCATGTCCAATTTTATCCTCTGATTACATTATTTGACACAAGTCATCTAAGAGTAAATAAATGCTGTTGCCTTAAAACATCTACATTAATCATCAATTAAAAATCAAAACACAAGTTCATTCTCACCCATAAGGACTAAGTTAGAAGGGTCTCCAGTTCTCTACACACCCTATACAAAACACAGCGGCACAATGCTGTTATTTCACACTGATATCCTGCGCAGCCGTCATTTACTTTAACGCGGCTCTACCACGAGAGTTGCCAGATAGGCGAAACTTGGCTCTATCATCCAGCTTTTTCATACGTTGTCCCGCGCTCCGGTTTTAGGCGTATTGCCTAAAGCCGGTCCCGCTAAACACGATCCGCGAGCACTGCAGCCTCGCTGCGGCCGCGCATGTGTTTATGACTGGTGCCACTGCCGGCCAGTGTCGGCCGCCACTTGCGTTATTAATAATAATAATAATATTCCACAATAATATTCCACAACTATCAAACAACGCCATCTAGTCCCAAGCTAAGCAGAGCTTGTGTTATGGGTACTAGATAACTGATAAACATACTTATATATTTCTAAATACATAAATATTATAGATAAATTACACCCAGACACAGAACAAATGATCGTGCTCATCACACAAACATTTGTCCTGGGTGGGAATCGAACCCACGACCTCCGGCGTAGCAGTCAGGATCACTAACCACTAGACCAACAGGCCAGTCAAATTATCGCGCGATTTATAAAAACTTTTATTTAGTTCAGCAAAAGATCTTACTTTCAAGCTATTTGCCAACAGCTATATTGCGGATACTGTGTTTGAATCCTCGTGCCAGCGGGTGCAAAAGTTTTTGAATTTGGTTTTCGGGTGCAGTTGTGTAAATTTTGTCTATTGTATCTATGTCGAGTACTTTCATTAAAGCTGGCAAACTAAGAAAAATTCCGATGGCAAGCAGAGAATATGACACGAAGATGGTAGGCACGTGTCCAATAAGAATCAAAATGCGAAACCAAACCTGAGAACTAAAATGAAATATGTACCTCGTTGCCAGTAAAGAGGTCTCTAGTTCTTTACAGTGACCATACGAACGTTGTAGTTCGTATGGTGGACGTAAAGAACTTCAAGCAAACATTATGTTGTCACCTTTGAAGACTAAGATGCTATACCTACAGCCTGTACTTGTACGTGTAAAAGCATATATTTAATAATTTAATTAATATTATACCTATATTAATATTTAATCGTCTCCGCGAAGAAATTTCTGTTTCTTTCAATAATTAAGTAATTCCTTGACATCTTAATACCAACACGCTACATCATCATTCATCAATATATTATATCAAAAATCCAATGCTAATAGGCCAGCCCCATATGGTGCCTATAGAGTGGATAATTGCCATAGTTGCAACGCTTGGCAGGCGAGCTGACAACCACATTTCACTTTATTACTATATCAGATTTCTAGTTAGGAAAATACTGGCGTCCATTTCCTGTTTCATTACCTTCTGTCGACACTTACAAGATCCACGGCTTGACATGGGGTACTGGATTATCTTACGCCGCCACTACACGGCCTCCACGTAATTTATTAAAATATAATTACCAATTTCAGCTGTTAATGATCTACGCTTCCTTTTGTACTGGTGTATGCTGCGTGATCCTGGGTACTCAAATTCAGCTGCACTGGGGCCCGCACTGGGTCACCGCAATTTTCATGTACATATTCGGCTTGACTTACACGTGCGGAGCTGGGACCGTTCCCTGCGTGTTGATTGCAGAGATATTCTTACCAGAGGTTGGTAAACATTGATCACATATATCATTGATTACTAAGTCAATATAGCCTATCAAAAGTCTGCAGTTGAACATATCCCTCTGCCATAAATTGCCCCCCAAACGGCCGTTATTCTCTTTTGCGGGTGTTTGATAGCACGGGGCTCCGATGGTGCGATTTAATGACGACGATATATACTAACAATATCTTCAAATTTCTCAACGAATTACAGATTAAAAATTATTTGTTATATTTCTCATATTTAACATTGCCACGCTTGACGGTTGGGTTTTTTTTATAGAATAAGGGCACACAGTCCACCTGGTGGTAAGTGGATGCTGTGGCTCATAGACATCTACATATATCCGCGATTAAGAATCAAAATGCAGATGCGTTGTCACCCCTGAAGACTAAGATGGAGTGCCTCGTTTCCAGTGAAAAAGTTCTCCGGTTCTCTAAATTCAATACAAATCACACATATTAAGCTGCTATTTTACGCTAGTATTCTGTGAGAGCGTGGTCCCACCCCGGTCAACCTGATCCATTCGTGCTACAACCATAATAATACTGGTTGCCAGCCGTAGTTGTTTATTAAATTATAATTGAGTGGTTATCTAGAATATGCTGCTGCCCATCTCCTATTTTAGCGTTTAGGTTCTTTTAAAGAGGGAATACTTACCATAGTGTACCTCGCTTGGCTTGGCCAACCCGCCTCGTTGGCTAACGCAGATTTTTTATATTTTTAGTTGTCATTTTATTTCACGCACATTCTTCACGGGAAATTTATAGTAAAAAGACTCTAGTTTAAATCTGCGACTAATATTTTTTGTAATAATACTGTCTTTTTAAAGAATAAGGGAGACAAACAGTCATCTGATGGAGTGTAAGTGGATGCTGTGACCCATAAACATCTACAACTGTCCTCGCTTAAAAATCAAAATGCATATGCACTGAGGACTTAGAATGCTTCGTTCACAGTGAAAATCGTCTCAAGTTAAATCCATTTCCTCAATTTGGCTTTTCTGCCAACAGGCGAACAACCAGGCGAAGAGTAAATTCATTTGTCATTGCAATACTTAATAAAAACCGTCTTTTCAGATCAAAAGCATTGCATCAATGCTTCTTAGTGAGTGGTCCCTGGTCTGCAGTTTCATAGTCCTCTTCATTTTCAACCCGCTAGTCACGGCAATCGGCTTGGGTCCAGTCTTCTACTTCTTCGCGGTCGCTTGTTTCCTTTCCGTCATCTTCTGTATCTTGTTCTTACCGGAAACGCAGGGTCTTCCTGTGGACATTATTCAGACACTTTTCGCAAAGAAGACCGTTCGACGACGTTATATTATGGTCGATACAGAAATCACATTTTAAAAGTAAAGTAACTGCGGTAGATCACGTGAATTTCTATCTAATACAGTCATCAATTTTTTTGCCTTAGAAATAAGCTTTTAAGCGGCGTTATCTCCACATGGCAGTTACAAAAACAAAATTGATTTCATAACAAACGCATTTAAATTCTTCAGTGACACACACATTATATAAAAATAAACTTTAACACCAACCACCGTATGGTACATCAATCACCGTATGATACGTTGTCGCTTAAAAAGGTATTCACCAAAAAGGTCTTGGAAAACCATAACAAATACTACAGTATTTTCACCTAAACATTTTATAAAAATATTGACACATCTTCTACCAACTCGCTGATAAAAATTGTTAACTCCGACATAAGTGCATAAATATAACTATCTAGATTATGAACTATCACAATTAAAGAAATTAAATAATGTAAAAGGCACAAATATATTAATAGATAAAACTATAAAACTGCCGAAAGAAAGAAAAATAACTTTAGCACACAAAAAAAATACGGGAGAGTATAAGGAAAAACAGGAAATTAAGAAGAATAAAAGATTGAAAGACATAATTCAAAGAAATGGTGGAATTAAAAAAGCTTTCAAGGAATTAAAAGAACATGGAAAAAATGTACTCCCCATGTAAAATGCAAACGATTCAACCAAGTAAAAAAAACGGGCTGAAATTAAAAGAATAGCTACAGATTACTAAATGACTCTTTACTCTAATATAGACACTGATTGGAAAACGTATACCAACAAAATGCCAACTTATAGATATGACAATGTTCAATCAATTACTAAAGAGAAAGTAAAGAAAGCTATCAATTCACAAAAATTATAGCAAAGACCCGTCAATTTACCAAACGTATTTTAAGAGGTACAGTTCAAAAACTAAGTCCAATTATAACAAAGACATTTATTGATGTAGTACACACAGGTATTAACCCAAACTTATTCACAAAAAAGAAGCCAAAAACGATATTGCTAACTGCAGACCAATTAGCCTCATATCAAATATCTACAAGTTCTTTTTGAAAGTAATTTTAGATAAAATGTCAAATACCTTAGATGAAAATGGACCTACTGAACTAGCAGAATTCAGAAAGAACTATAGTATAATCGATTAATCCATACAATTATACAAATTTTTAAAAAATATAACAAATATCAGAAGCCTCAACCATAATCTTATTTGGTCAAGCCTCAGACAGCAAGAAGCGGCAAATACCTATATTGCCATAATCAAAACATCTACAACAAGAATAATAGCCGCATAAAACTGGAATCTTAAGGTGACTCATTTCCCATAAACAGAGGTGTAAGACAAAGAGACCTATTGTCACCCAAACTGTTTAATGCTGTGCTGGAAAGCATCATTAGAAGTGGGATGATTACGGCCTAAAAATCAACGGAAGCCATTTAAATCACTTGAGATTTGCTAATGATTTAATCTTGCTGGAAGAAGATCACAAGGAATTACAAATTATGGTAAAATTTACAAACCCTAGCTAATAAAAGTAAATAAGTTGAGCTCGAAATGAATACAAGCAAAACAAAAATTATGATTAATTCTACAGAAGTTGATACAGAGATGGATGAAAACAGATTCGAATATATTAAAGAGAATATTTATTTAGGACAAATCTACTAAGTAGTAACAAAACTTATTTATTTAAATAAGTAATATCCTTTATATTGTGTATTTTTTTTATATTTCTAGCCTTGGCGTGAACTTTTAAGAAATATAATATTTAAGCAAGATTTTTTTATACATAGGTATTTATTTATTTACTAGCTGTGCCCACAACTTCGTTTTCATATAATCTTTGTAATTTATTTGTTTTAAAGTTTCATTATTTTAAGTGTGATTGATTATAATATTTTATTTTAATTAAACAATATTAATAAATCTAAAATAATTTATTATTTATCTCTGTCTTCTATGTAAGTCCTTGATATTTACTATACTTTTTATTATTTATATACTCGTATATTTAATTATGACTATATATATATATATATATATATATATATATATATATATATACCTATATTATACCTTATACTATAGACATAATAGTGTTCTATGCTACAGATGGAATTAGAGCCATGAAATAAGTACTTAATATTAAATATTAGAAAAAGAAGGATACCTAAGGATATACGAGTAATAAGATAATTTAAGTAAACTACTTTTAGATATACATTCTGATCCATTGTTTTTATTCATTTTAACAAATTGTGTACGACTAGTGAGGTAACTTGCATACCATTTTATTTTTAAATTATCAAATCCGTAATAAGTCAGTTTTGATAAGAGTAGAGTGGTGTTAATGGTATCTAAAAGCTCGGGAAAAATCAAGGAAAACTAACAGGGTACCCTCTCCAACATCTTGTGCAGTCAGAATATCAGCCACTACATTCATCAGAGCGGTTGCAGTGCTACGAGCCTTTCTAAATCCAGATTGATGCCATCAGATTCTAAATTCAGAGTGATGCCATCATGAACTTGTGCATTTGTTTAACAACAGACTGTCCCGGTGCGCGCGGCACGTCAGGCGCACCACCAAGGGATGTGGCCGTACACTACCGTTTTGATCCACTGCGCGCCGAATGGGCCCTGCACGCTCTGCATTCACGCTGTCGCGCCAATGAGCGCTCGGCAGCAATCAATACGCAACTAATAATGTATATTCATCTTTTTCTAACGATAGGTATGCCCTATCATTTGTCTCTTCTTGTTCTTGTTCTTGGAAGTAGTATCAGCGCTGCTGTTTACCGCGAAGGATCCGGCAGACATTATGCGGACACTGGAGCAGTGTTTCGGCCGCCCGGATGTAATTATAGATCGTGCGTTAGATGACTTGAAACGCCTTCCGCGCCCGGGTCAAACCGCCCAGGAGTTAAATTCGTTCGCTATTAAGTTACAAAATATAGTATGTATTATGCAGAAGGTCGACGGCAAAGGATATTTACAAAATCCGATGCTAACTAGGGAGGTTACAAGTAAGCTTAGCCCTCACTTACGATCGCGTTGGTGCGATTATGCGGAGCACTACGGAAGTGCGGATGAACCGGACATTGTCACACTATCCCGGTTTATGATGAGAGAGGCTGACCGTGCGTTAAGTCACGCCTATACGTCCGTAACGCCGACTAAGGAATCGCCCTTAAGACGAGAGGTGCCGCCGTCGAAAAGAATAGTATGACACGCCGCGTAGAGGATAGGGCCCGCGACGTAAAGACGTTCACCGCCCAGGAGGACACCGGTAGTGCCTCATGTATGTGTTGTGGGGGTGAACACCCTATCGCCAAATGTAGGAAGCTGGCGCAAATGGGTTTGGACGACCGGTGGAAGTGGGTAAGGGAAGATGGGGTGTGTTTTAAGTGCTTAAGCAGCAAACACCGACGCATACGTTGTAAAGCTAGGAGGTGCGGCGTCGACGGCTGCAACGCCCCCCACCACGCTCTCCTTCACACCCGCAAGGCCCGCACGCCTGAAGCGTCGGTTAAACCGGATGAAACCGTGCTCGTCGCGTTGAGTGTTAGTAGTAGTGCGTCTGTACTATTGAAAGTGTGCCCCATAACCGTGCGCGGACCGTGCGGCAAGGAAGTTAATACGTATGCGCTACTTGACGAAGGCTCTACCATATCGTTGATCGACGACGACTTAGCTCGCGAGTTAGGAGCGGAAGGACCGGTAAAGCCGCTCAATATTAGAGGCGTAAGTAATAGTCAACGCGAGGCCAATAGTAGGTTAGTTAATATAGGAATACGTGGCAAGACGCGCAATGAGATGTATAATATAAGCGCGCGAACGATAGCAGATTTAAAGATAAGCTCGCAGTCTGTGAGTAGGGAGTGCTTACGGTTAAAGCACTTAAGCGACTTACCGAGTTCGGTGTGTTACGACGACGCGAAGCCGAGATTATTATTAGGCGCCGACAATTGGCATTTAATAATTACCCGTAATTTAAGAATAGGACGTCGAAGGCAGCCCATAGCTGCACGTACGTTTTTAGGGTGGGTAATTCAGGGAACCGTGCCGCGGTTAACGTGTAGGGAAGACGGCGAGACCGTATTACACTAGCAAGCACTAGCAGATGGCCAGATAGGGACATCCGAACGTTTGTCAGTCAGGTCGAGGAGCTAACGGAACTCCTCAAACGGCAGTATGAGATAGATTCCATAGGTATCTCGGTAAAGAGTAGGCCACGACGGAAAGAGGAGCGCGCTGTCGACAAATTCCAGCGCACCGTCAAGAAGGTCGGCGAGCAATACCAAGTTGGACTGCCATGGAAGGACGACAACGTGCGGATGCCACCCAGCTATGAAATGGCAGCTCGAAGACTACGGACGATTGAAAGGAAGATGGACCAGTCGCCGGAGTTTCGTGACGCCTACACAGCCCAGATAGACAACCTCCTGGCGAAAGGATACGCAAGGGAAGCCGAGGGGACGGAGCGAGAGGATCCCAAGAGCTGGTACCTGCCACACTTCGCAGTACGGAATCCGAACAAGCCGGGGAAGACAAGAATAGTGTTCGACGCGGCAGCGCGCGCATCCGGTAGATGTCTTAATGATTATTTACTCGACGGCCCCGACTTATTACGGAACTTACCTGGCATACTGTTTAGGTTTAGAGAGAATGAGATAGCCGTGTCCGCGGATATTAGGGAAATGTTCTTGCGTGTGAAAATCGACCGTCGCGACCAACCCGCGCAATTGTTTCTCTGGCGAGGAAACGAGCGATACAGCCCACCGCGGGAGTACGTTATGACGTCTATGATTTTCGGCGCGAGGAGCTCGCCGTTTCTCGCACATAGTGTTAGAGATTATAACACGCGAGCACACGCAGAGACACACCCGTTGGTACTTAACGCTATCGTACGTAGTCATTATATGGACGACTATTTAGACAGTTATGCAACGTTAGAGGAAGTGGTAAATACGGCAAGGCAGGTTTCGGAAGTTTTTTTTTTTTATATGATAAGGGTGACAAACGAGCAC